AAGAAAAAGCCAAAGTTCTGTTCCTGAGCTTCCCACAATAGTGTGACTGCCAGAGAAGCCTTCCCCATATCAGATTTGAGAGTCCTAGAAGTCTCCCTCCATAGCTTTCTCCCCCACCCAATGATTAAAGATGTATTCCACCTCTTTCCTGTGTGATCTTCAAAGTGGTCAGCTTCTTCAAGATGAAGCTGAACATCTCTTTCCCAGCCACCAGCTGCCAGAAACTCATTGAACTGGACAACGAATGCAAACTTTGTACTGTTTGTGAGAAGCATATGGCCACAGAAGTTACTGCTGATGCTTTGGGTGAAGAACGGAAGGATTATGTGGGCCAGATCAGTAGTGGGAATGACAAACAAGGTTTCCCCATGAAGCAGAGTGTCTTGACCCATGGTCATTTCTACCTGCCGCTCAAGAAGGGGCATTCTTGTTACAGACCAAGGAGAACTGGAAAAATGAGGCACAAATCTGTTTGGGGTTGTATTTTAGATGTCAATCTGACTGTTCTCGATTTGGTGACTGTTAAAAAAAAAAAAAGAAGGTGGGGAAGAAGGATATTCCAAGACTCACTGATACCACTGTGCCTTGTTGCCAGGGGCCAAAAGAGCTAGCGGAATCCCCAAACTCTTCAGTCCCTTTAAAGAAGATATGTGCCAGCATGTTATAAGAAAGCCCCTGAACACAGAAGGCAAGAAACCCAGGACGACCGTGCCCAGGATTCAGCATCTGGGTGCTCTGCATGTCCTGCAACAAACATGTCAGCATATCACTCTCAAGAAACAGTGTACTAAGAAAAATAAGGAAAAGGACACAGAATAGGCTAAGCTTTAGGCCAAGAGAATGAAAGAGAACAAAGAAGAATGCCAGGGACAGATGGCCAAGAGATGGGGGCTGTCGTCTCTGAGAACTACCTCTAAGTCTGAGTCCAGTCAAAACTGAGATATTCTTAAGAGGAACAAATAAATAAGATCAGACATCAAGAAAAAAAGAGAGAGATGCATTCCTTGGATCATTACCAGGATGAATAGCAGATTAGATGTAAATGAAGATCATTAGACCTGGGCATTAAGGGAAGTTCTGGAGGAATTGGACAAGGAGTGACAACGGAAAGCTTGGAACAGGAAGGGGAAAATGATATAAATATAAGTCCCATAGTTTTGCCAAGAGCTGGTCCTGACCGCAGTGCCCCCAGAGGAGTGGCACCACAAGAAGAGGAGTGAAATTAACATGCCCCCTACTGTCTTTTTTTCCTTTCCAGGCCTGCTGGGCCACAACCCCTACTAGATCCCACCTACATGCTAAAAAGGGCCAAGAGGAGGCCCCGTCCTTCCAGGGACCTGAGGTGTTTTCATAAATGGACATCTTGTGGGCCAGGTATGTGGGAACTTTGCAAATTTGTACTGAAATCCAGTCACTCATGGCCACCTCTGTCCTCCCCCTAGGATCATCTGGCCGTAAGAGTAGGATGTCACTTGAGAAGTTTGGGGACGTTCAGTACACCTCTCCCCTAAGCGTCTTCCCCAGCAAAGCTATCTCTCCTTCCAGAAGCCACTGCAATCTACAACTAGAGATTCTTTCCTTGGGCTTCACCTTACATTGTCCTGAACGATCGATTATAAAATGTGAACACCCCTGGAGAGGGTGTAACGTGAAGTAGTGACTAAGCCCTGTTAGTACTATATGAAGTAATTTAGCTGCTTGCCTTCTTCTGTGTCTTGGAAGGGCACTGTTGCACAACAGCATGAATGTATTTAACACTACTGAACTGTACTCTTTTAAAAATGGCTAAGGTGGTGAATTCTACATTATGTGCGTTTTACCACGACTTTTTAGAAAATGTATCTGAGGTATTCCGCTCTGTGCTCTGATTGCACTCTCTTCAAAGGAAGAGGCTCATGCCACAGCTTTTACCAAATGATATAAATGTTAAGTCCCTGCCTCCCTCAGAACACAGCTGATGGAGAACTGGTGGGGTCATCTGGTCCAGAAGTTAAGCAGCTCACCCTGAAATATAGCACAGAAAGAAAAGTTGCCTTAATCACATTATTTGTCTACCTGGGCAGGCCAGAGGTTGTGTTAAGTAACAAAAGAGGCTGAAAAGTGACTTCCATCCAACTTCTTCTCTCAGAGCCATTTTGATAGGTGATTCAAGTTCACCTAGGGTTGGCTATTGACCAATCTAATCTAGTCACCCCTGCTGGTCCTCAGTCAGGCTCCCTTACCTTCACAGAACATTCTAGCTTCCTCTTCCTTCTACCTCCCGCATGAAGCCCACAGCCTGTGATTCTCTCCCTTCATTCTCCTCTCTTGCACCCTCTCTCAAGCCCTGACCTGTGTCTTCAAAGTCTGAACTCCAATCTGAACTCCAGAGCCCTGAACATACCGTATCATTGTCACATTTATTTTAAAGAGGCACTGTGAACCTACAGGTAAAGGGGAGTAGAATAGGTGGTGAGACAGTTAGGCAGAGATTCCTGGTCATCCAGGACCCTAGAATGGGGGACATAGGCTCAGAAATCTGGGAGGTCGTGGTCAAGCCTCTGCATTCTCTGAGCAATAAGAGCAGACTCTATATAGTGGAGAATTTTCTCTGAGCCACACTTCCACCACACAAGTGCCGGAAGTCACTCCTACAAGGAAGGAAAAGGAAAGTAGAAACTTAACACCTTATGCTTCTATCCCTGCTGTACTTCTCCGAGCCCCTTCCCGTATGTTAGCTCTCTTGATCCTCAAATCTCCACGGGCCCAGAGAAGTTAAACAGCTCGCCCTGAGAAACAAAGCCAGTTAATTGGCAAAGCCAGGGCTGGAGCCCGGTTCTCCTGATTCGGGCCTGGGCTCTCTCCAAGGCACTGCAGTGCATTTCCTTTGCCATCAGGCAAGACGTTTGGAAAGCAGCCCAGTCCCTTTTTAATTTGTTGATACAAATCATGTGCAGATCTTTGGATTCTAAACAAGATAGCAAACTGAAAAGGAGAAGATGGTAAAACAAACAAATTAAAGACTCCATTTATATCCTTCTAGAAAAGTGAATCAACAACAAGGAATTATATCTATAGTGGAAGACAAGTTTTCAAGTTTGTTTTTGCATCGTCAATGAGCACTTCTGGACATTAGGGCTCAAAACACCTCCTAGTCCTGCCTTGTTGAAAGTCTCAACTTATAAGGAAGCATGGATCTTTTTCATTATTATTATCGTGGAGCAAAGATCTGAACATGAACTGACACAGGATCTGTTTGCACAAGAGGGAGAAACAGACTACTGGGTGGATTGAGAAAAGAATCCCTCCAATTTATTAGAATCACATTCAAGAGAAAGCTAACAGTTTTATTTCCCAGTTTATACAGTCAGCTCGTGTTGCTCAGGAATACATGATCATAACTGGGATCCGGCCAACCCCCTAGTTTTTCTATCTTCTATATTTTGCTGACCAAAATATGATCACTTCAATACTGTTGAAAACCCCACTGGTTCATGGAGAGCCGAGTGTCCAGCCAGGCTTTTGGGAAACTTCATTATCTGGGACACAGTGGTAGCCCTGAAAGCATTTGAAGAAAGCAAGCAGGCAGGAAAGCAAATCGCTCTCCCCAGGCCTGTTCACTTTTCTCCCTGGGAGAGTTCTGTAGCTACTCTAACTACACATTCTTAATGGGCACCTTAATCATCATCTAAAGGGTAAAATGTTTTTAAAAGCCGGCAAATTTTCGCAGTGGTATTTGTTTCCCACAGCTAGCACATCAAGGTTCATTATGGGCATTACCGCGACTGCTCCCATTATATTTTCTTGAGCAATATATTTTTTAAAGGTCTATGAAAAAATGGTACAAATATTCAGAGTTGCAGCACCTAACCAGTAATTATGCTGCATTATCAGAACAACCTTGTGTCCCCAGTTATGCCAAATAACTGAGGGTCCTTGTACTTAAAATGCAGGGCTGGGTACTCATTCCCACAGGCCCCCTGCATGGCTGGGTTGCTGGTGCCCTCCCTCCCCATCCCACTCAGACCTCCCTGCCTGCCCCAGAGATGGCTCTCACAGCATCCCCTCACTTCCTATCATTGTCTTGGACTGCTGCCCAATCCCTGGCCCCCAACTGCAAGGAGAGGGGTGACCTTAGAGCTGGAACTAGGACTGGAGAGTAGCCAATGGGACAAGGCCAGTATATCTTCAAGAAGTGGATTCTGGGAATGAAAGTAAGTTCATTTAACTTATTAATAGCTCCAGTAAAATACCAGATGGGCTACAAGGTCAAAACCAATGCCTTGAATGAGGTTTGTGTATTATCAAAACACTTAAGTGACCCATAATATCTTTGTCCTGCTGTAACTGAGAAACCAGCTGGATTTAAGTAAGTTGGTTTAATGCTAAAGGGTGATTTTTTTTTTTTTTTGGTGAAGCTCAAACAGCCATCATCAGATATAAGCATTAAAGTGCTAAGCAGACAAGTTTCTGATGACCTTCTTGAGACAAGGACAATAAATCAAAAAACATACACTTCTGACTTTACCCATCATTGCTTAAGATTGCTTAGTTCAAGCATCTTCCCTCTGACTTAAGACTTACACTCTCTAGTAGCTTTTTCTCTCTCAATAAGCCACTTCTTTGAGAGTTCTGGAGACGGCTTCTTAAAATTAACTTTGGTAATAGCTAATAATGATGGGTCTGAGGTTTTTTCTTAAGTGTATCCTGAAAAACTGCAAAAGAAAAGTGGGACACCCTTCCTTAGCATTGGGATATTTGAAAGCACTCCAGAATTAAGGAAAAAGAAAAATAATAAAGCAGTTATAACTTTCCCAATGCATGATAAAACAACCCATTTAGGCATACAAACCTTTTCTTCACCCACAATCACACCTATTATTTTGGAAGTGGATATATAGGTATAAGTATCACAAAAACGCATCCCCCAAATCTAAACATCATTTCCAAAAGCAAAAAGGATTCCTCCTCTGTGTGGTTCTGGGGCTTAAGGCTTGGATCTTTGAGAGAAGAGTCTTAGGTCATTGTTTAAACAATCTTTATTACCTGCCTCTGACATTCCCCAGGTTACAGAGTACGGGACGTCTGAGCCTCATGTCCCATGGATGGAGACAACTGCCATAACAACTGAATCAATATAGGAGAGGCATTTCCAAGTACTGAGCTGATACACCCAGCAATGGTTCCCCAGGACAGAAGATGGCAAAGTTACAACTAAAAATCAGGCAAGTCACCTTTGGGATGGCAACTGGATGCAAGAGAACCATACAGTTGGGGTCATAGGTCTTGCCCTCCCCTTTGAGCTTCCCTCCCCCTTTCAGTCCTCATTAAGTCCATTCTAGCCCACAGAATAGTCCTAGTGTCCTGCTAGCTCCCTGCTGAAAGAGGGAAGGAAGGAAAACATGTCTGAGGTCTCATTTTCTGTCTCTGTCCCTAAGGCGCCAGGAAGCTGGAGCTGCTGCGGCCGGCCTGGCAGTGATGGCAAGCCCGTTGGCTCCTCAGTGAGCAGTCTCTGGCAGCCCCTGGAGCAGCTGCCAATTAGATGGCCCAGACTTCTGATAGACTTGATTGCTTCAGTTCAATGCCAAGTGTTGGACATGTTGGATTCAGTTCCCAGAGACCTGGAGCATGGTGTCAGGGCTGCCTGAAGACAAGAGAGCAGACGCAGTTTAGTGCAGTTGGACGAGCGGGCCGGGGGGTGGAGGCATGGGGGGAGAGGAGGGGAAACCGGCCGGGAGTGGGTAGGGTGGTGCTTCTTCCAGGGCCTTCCAGACAAGGTCTCCTGGCCTCTCATCATTGTCTGGGCCTCAGATAGGCGAACCCTGGCAGGGGAAGAAAGGTAAAGGCGGACGCCGCGCCAGGGGACAAGCGAGATGAGGAGGGCGCGAGTGAGCAGGCTGGGCCTGTGATTCTAGACCCCGTCTGCACCCCGGGCTAGGGCGGGCATCCCCCCGGGGGCAAGCTGGTGGTGGCCCTCGTCCGGTGGGCCAGCGGCAGTCTCGGCAGCGGCGGCCTGGGCACCTCCCGGGGCCCACTCGTGCTCTGCGCAGGCCTGCGATGGCTCGTCCTTGGCTTCGACGAGCTTGCGGGAGCGGGTGTAGGCCAGGATGAGGCCTCCGGCCAGGCAGGCGTAGAAGATCATGATGAGCAGGATGTAGAGATAGGCGTCGTCGCCCTTGGCGCTGGTCACCTCGCGGCCCACGAAGGGGTCAGGCACGACCCCCATGCCCATGCTCGGGCCCGGGCCGGCGCCCAGGCCGCTGGCGTTGCCCCGGTGGTGCAGCTCGAGCAGCAGGCGGCTGAGGAGGGTGCGCAGCCGCTGGCTCTCGCTGCAGTTCATGGCTGTCGGGGAGTGACACGGCGGCTCCAGGACGCTGCCGACCTTTCCCCCTGGCCGAGGGGAATCAGGCGAGCGGCGGCGGCGGCGGCACCCAGGTCTGCGCGGGCTGCGCAGTGTCTGGGGGTGCGAGCCGCCGGCCTCCTTATCCCCTCACCCGCGCCCCTCCTCCCCTTCCCCACCACGCCCCCTCCGGCCCGAGGCCGCCTCTTCCCAGGCTCCGGCTGTCTGGTCGCTCCGGGGAAAGGGGACAGCTGGTGGGGGGAGGAGAAGGGGCAAGGCAGGGGGGCGAGGCCCGGAGAGGGGCGGAGGGGCGGGGGCGCGGAATGCGCGAGGCCCCAGGCAGCAGAGGCTGGCAGGGCAGCTTGCTGGGGCCAAGCCTAGACCCTGGGCTGCGGAAGAGAATTCCTTCCAAGTTCTGGCCACCTGCCCTGCAGGCCAGGCTTTGGCCCAGAAAGAGCATCTGGCCCCCCGAGGCAGGTCCTGCCCCGGGGTTCCATCAGCTCTCCCTTAATGTGGCAGCGGGAGACTACTTGTCCACATCTTATGGCAATTACTCCAGCAGACAAGAACCCTGACCTATCTTTCCAGCCCTAATTCCTTCCCCCAGCCCAAGAAGAGCATCTTAATCAGAAGATGGTCAGGACAAATTTGGTGGCTGAAGCAGAACAGGACTCCCTGATTTTCCACAAAGGTTTCTGATAATAAACCATCCTCCTTGGAAGTACCCCTCCTGTGATCTCCTGTCAGATTTTGAGAGGGGCCTATACATCTTAGCATGTGCATGTACCATCCATGATGTGACCCTGTTTCCTTTGGGCAAACCATCTTCCCAGAAATAAAATGAAGTTCTTCCATTAAAAGGAACAGAGACATTAAAAAGGCCCTTTTACTATACTCTTTAGATGTCTCAGGATCAGAAAAGTGCCAGTTCTAGAATATATGCCTACCTCCCCATATCTATACCCAGTTAGGTGGGCATCCAGCCCTGTGCCTCTCCAGGGCTTGGTAACAGTAATAGGCCCTGCTGGCTTGTGAGGCAGCCATTTTTTCTCAGAGGGTACCTTCTTTTAGGGGAAAACAAGGCACTGAGACAAAGAATGTTAAACTGGAAACAGACTGGGCCTCACAAAGGAAACGTGCTCCAAGGATTGTTTTGTAGACAATGAATAGAAAAAAAAACACGAGGTAGTGCTGGGCAGGTCTGGTTGTACTGGTTGTCTATGACTGCCAAGTGAGAACATAACAGTAAAAGAAAAGTATATGCCTATGTACACCTTGAAAATCAAGTTCCCTGTTCAAGACCATTTGGTCTAGTGGCCATTCAGTTTGCAGGTGACATGGGTTTAAAAAGGAAGGTTTTCTGGTGCCCCTGCTGTGGTCACTCTTCAGCCCCCCTTCCACTCCAGGGCTGCAGCCTTCTGTGTACTGGGTGAGGTTGGCACCAAACTATATCCAGGGTCTCAAACCAAGCCTTGCTTATTAACAGCCTCTACAGAGGTCTCAGAGACATTCCACATGACCCTGACCACTGGCTCCCTCCTACTGCCTTGCCTCAATGCCCTCACCACAGAGGGGTCAGGAAAGAATTGTTAAAGTGACTTGGTGTTACCAATGCCAGAGGATATGGCTAAGGAATTCACAAAGCAGTACCAAACTAGGGACAGGACTGTTAAGCTAAGAGACTCCCTTATCTGTTCAAACATGCCCAGAAATCTCTAGGGTTTTTGTGGGCGGGGTGGGTGGGGGGCAAGGGTTGGGGGAGGAAGAAGCCCCTTCACTGTAATGTAAAAAGAATCATTTAAACTTGTATTGTCCTTTCAACAGCCCTATGAGCCAGTAGGATTATTCCCATTTTCAGAAAAGAAAACAGATTCAATTGATTAAGTAACAGGACTAGAATTAAAAAGTTTGACCCGTTGGTCTCAGTCCTAACACATTACTCTTGTCACATGGGTGGTATCCATGAGCAGCCTCGATTTCCCCATCTCTCCCTTCTCTGGAAACTAGTTCTAGAGTCCAGTGCTTCCTGTCAGAACCACTGTCTTTAAGTTAGTTCACCAATAACCGCCTGGCCAAATTCAAGGGTCCCTGTTCAGTTTGCATCTTTGACCCCAAGGATGAATCTGATACCATCAGCCACCCACTCCTTCCTGTAACTGTCCTATCCTTGGCTTTTGTGGCATTGCATTCCCAAGTTTCTCTTCTTATCTCTAGGACCCATCACTCTCTTTCTCCTTCACTGGCTCCTCTTCTTTCCTCCTCCCATTAACTGTTGAACTCCCTGAACATCCCGTCCTCAGCTATTCTCTCTTAACATCCATTTCCTTGGCAAGTGTCTCCTTACGTGGTTTCACCTGCCACCTGGCATGTATTTAGCCAGATTTGAATATCCAGCTATGATTCTTTCTCAGATCCATCTGCTCCCTTCTGCTTCATTCCTACAAGCTTAATCCAAGCTCTCATTACCTCAGGTCAAATATGCAAACTGCAAGTCTCCTGGCAGATCTCCCAGCCTACGAGATCAATATGGCTTGAATATAGATCTTCCTCAATTTATGATGGGGTTACAGCTCAATAAACCCATTGTAAATTGAAAATATCATAAGTCAAAAATGTATTTAATACACCAAACCTACAATCATCATTGCTAAGCCTCGCCTACCTTGAACATGCTCAGAACACTTACATTAGCCTACTGTTGGGCAAAATCATCTACCATAAAGCCTATCTTATACCAAAGTGTTAACTATCTCATGTAATTTATTGAATACTGTACTGAAAGTTAAGAACAGAATGGTTGTATGGGGACAAAACGGCTTTAAGTGCATCAGTTGTTTACCCTTGTGATCGCATGGCTGACTGGCATCTGTGGATTGCACTGCTGTCCAGCATCACGAGAGAGATGCATATCACTGGGTAGGGAAAAGATCCAAATTCAAAGTACGGTTTCTACTGAATGCATACCACTTGTGCGCCATCATTAAGTCAAAAAATTGTAAATCAAACCACCCTAAGTCAGGCACTACCTGTAATTCTCCTCCAACACCTATTCCATCAATTCACCTGTATGTTCAGCAACCCAGAGTTGCTCCCACTGCTTATTCAATGGAGCCCAATCCTTTTCGGGGGACCTTAAGACACCGTTTCCTTGCCTTTGCACTTGAAAACCAGCATATTTCTGAAGTTCCTTTCGAACTTGGGCCTTTCACCTTCCTCAAAATCCATCTACTGAAGGAAGCCTGGCTTGATGCCTCTGTTGTGCTCCCAGGGTCTTCACAATGCACGCATCCCCCCGCCCCGCCCAGTGGTGCCGTAACTCAGACTGTAGCATTCAATACAGATTTGGAAAACAGCAAAAAAAACACCAAGAAAAACATTTACAATCACACACACATATGTTGTACATGCACACACACACACATCATTGCTTTGTAGCCTTTTTCACTTAACGTGTTGTGAATTTTCCATGTCAATCACTACTGTTTATAACATCATTACACAGTATTCTGGACTATGGATCAATCATTGTATATTTAATTAGCTCTTTTTAAATTTTTGGTTATTTTCAGGTTTTTTTCTATTAAAAATAACGTTTTCATGGATACATACAAGGCTAAATCTAATTCCATTGAATGAAATAATTGCCAGAGAGAAAGCAAATGATTAATTTATGGAAGACTGGCATGGGGAGCAAGCGATGTGTAGAAGGGGGTGGAAATAGGAATGGAGAATAGTCATAAAATTTAAAAATGCCCAACCCTCAGAAAAAAACAACAGGTGTGTGTGGGGGGATTCTGGCTTTCTTTTCACTCAAGGGGCTGCTGGGCATCCCTTCAAATCCCAGTCCCAGGCCAGCCCTGAATGGCTGAAATGCCAACCCCATTTCCCCACCACGCTTAACAAAGCTGCAAATCCATCAGACAAGGATTGGGTCTCATTACTCCACACCCTTCCATCCCCCTTCTAGACCTGCCCCATACCTGTCAAATAACCATGTTTATCCATCATCCAGAACTCACTTGTTTCCTGAATGACAATCAAGTGTGTTGACAAAGAGAAGTAATTTATACTCATGTATTCAGACTTTAAAAAGTCTTGGAAAAGGTTCTGTTCCATGCCAAGGTTGTTTTAACCACACAATTGAGGCGCCATGGATTAGGAAATGCTTTCGCCATTCCTTGAGACAGCGAGTGCTTCCTGCCAATAGTGCAGCTCCATAGAAGTTGGTTGAATTGAACTGAGTTGAGTTTGGCTCGTTGCCAAAGGACGGGCACAGATGGTGCGCATTGCTAGAGTCCAGGAAGCTGCCAAAGCCACAGTGGGCACTGGGGGAGGGGGAGAAGAAGGCTTCATGAAGCACCCACTACAGACTGAGAAAGAAGCATTCATTCACCCATTTAGTCAACCAATACATACTGCATGTTACACTGTGCAAGGAACTGTGCTGGGTCCTAGAAACACATGAGGGAACAGGTCACATTGGTGAACTCTCAGTGGCTTTATAACTCTCCCAGCCACTTCTTTGTGAACTGGGGGAAAGCTGGGAGCACCAGGATCTGGAGTAGCATGAGCAGTGGGTTTGAAAGCCAACTGGAATTCTGGTTTGGAGAGCATTTTGAGTCTGGACCCAAGCTTTAAGCACTAGCATCCAAAAGCTTGTTTGGAAAAAGAAGAGCTCAGGCAGTCTGAGGCCACTATCATTGCAACCCCACTACCTGCTCCTAGCAGCACCATCTTGAGGGTGTGGCCCATCACGAGCCATTCCACTGGGTCCATTCTCAAAGGAAGGAGCACAATAAGTGGGAAAGTTCCCTGTCCAAGTGGGGTTTCTCGGGTGTTCCACGGGAATATGTGCAGTATTTGCGGCGGGGGGGGGGGACTGGGTTTCATAAAGATTCCAATATTTGTGGGTTGGAATGGACTTCAGGGGCTTCAAATGCCTACCTTAGAGACTCGTTGGAGGTTTGGTGGGTTTGTGCTGGGGTCACCATATATCCAGGCCACATACCGGAGCATCAGATATGGTCTCTGAGCTCAATTATCAAATGCCTAGCATGTGCTAGGCAGATTACATACATTATATTAATTAACCTTACAACAACCCTATGAGGTGGGTAGGAGTGATATTAAAAATAGTTAACAGTAGTATGTAT